TTCTAATTATGTATTTACGTAACATATGTATGTTAGCGATAGTTTTCTAAATTTCCCCCACGGGGATCAACAAAATGTAATGTATTATTTTTATTTAAAATGTATTCTTACGAACAGACAACGTGATTTACGAAGCAAAATGTTGTACATTACCGGTGTGCAACATTAGGGTTTAAAGAAAATGAGTTTTCGGGCTTTAAAAAAAACTTGAATCAAAGTTGACTTTAGTCCGATTGTACTTAAGGTAGTTATCTAAACGCCGGACCCAGACTGGAAAGACGCTCTTTCTAATAAACATTTCAATTGTTTTCCTTGGAACAAATAGCTTGAGTCTTTAAAGATATCCTCACTGAAGAGGATATATAATGTAATTGTATTATCTTGCTACCAATTGTGAACAGTATACCGGATGCGTTAAGCTTGCACTCTGCACTAAATTGTAACAGCTATACTGAAAGTATAGACTCACCGGATGTCCCTCTTACAGGCCACTCGGCCTTGCTGCAGACAGACGCCTGTGTCTCCCCGCGACACCCACCGGTACAAGCGGAAGAAAAAAGTAAAGTAAGATATTGAAAGTGACTCAAAGCAAAACTTTCAAGTACAGTTTGTGTACTTTTAATTACTAATTATGTTTCTACGTTATCTGTTTTGGCATCTAACCGTAGAAATACGTCTACAGTTTCCAAGTTGCGTAATCCCTAAAGTCTCCGTTGACAAATATACGCATGAAATGTGTTTACGGTTTTACTAAAGCCAACACTGTTGAGGCGGGTTTAGATTGTGTCTTTAGGAGAATGTGAACCAAGCCTAGTCAGCTCAGAGATAAAAGGCCTCACCTGCAATGTTAACATAGAACTTCACCCAAACTCAAAGAACCAGGTAGTACCAAGTGATGAAAGAAACGGCATCAATTTCATCATAACAACAACATGTAAGCGTCATCCTTCTTGCTGATATCATAGTCAGAGGTTACGAAAAGGCATCATTGTAATAACACAAGATTAAGCATTTTGCCCGAATTAATCCATTTTATGAAACAAAAAGCTTACTGTTATAATATCGCTGTAGATGGAACTATTTGGCGCCGAGCTATGGGGCGGTGGTCATTAATTTTCGGAGCAATCTTTGCGTCTGTCGGTTCCCTTGTCCGATGGGACCGATTGAATCCCAAACAGGTGCGGCGTAGTGTGTCTTAATACCACAGTGTCCATTGTCCGTTATCCTTTGGCTTCGGTGACAATTATAAAACGGGCCATGTCTCCACAGAATGTACTTCGGACAGATTGCTTAAAGACGGACTATCTTCCATGTTGTCTTTGTTGTTGTTTTCGTTGTCGTAACTGTTGTTGTTGTTGTTTCACTAGTCGTTGAAGCTCTTGTTGTTTTGTTGTTGTTGTTGTTGTTGTTGTTGTTGTTGTTGTTGTTGTTGTAGCTTTTGCTGTTGTTGTTGTTGTTGAAGTTGTTGTCGCTATTGTTGTTGTTGTTATTGTAACGACACTTTCAACACTGCAAAATTCAACATAATAAGGCAGTGTCTTCAAACTTAGCATGCATGCCTAATAGGAACGAGTCAAATAGATAGAGAGCCTCAACAACTCACCCAAACAACTCACATTCGGAAAGGCCTGTTGGGAATTTGAACTACGACCATCTGCTCTGTATAGTCCAGCATGATACTAAGTGGGCTAACGGTGCACCCTCAAGAGTCTTTGTCTACTGTGCACACCAACACAGTACTGACCTCAACGCACTCTTACTTAGTTTTTGTCTTGTGTGTGTGTGTGTGTGTGCGCGCGCTCGCGCGCATGTGTGTGTGTGCGTGTGCGTGCACGCGTGCGTGTGTGTGTGTGTGTGTGTGTGTGTGTGTGTGTGTGTGTGTGTGTGTGTATGTGTGTGAAAAATAATAAGGAGGGCGTTGTTTACATTATTGTAGAAATTTCACGCCCCCATCGCCACTATTTTGATAATTTAGGAAATAATGTTGTGGGAGATGAGGGTTTTTTTCTTGGGGGGAGTGTGCTGTGAGATGTAATGGACAGGTTTGTTAGTCTAGAGGTAGGGTGCTTGCCTTACAATCAGTTATGAAGAAACTACAATCGACTTCCTGTGAAGTAATGATAGCAATATAATAATAATAATGATAATAATAATAATAATAATAATAATAATAACAATAATAATAATAATAATAATAATAATAATAATAATAATAATAATAATAATAATAATAAGAAGAAGAAGAAGAAGAAGAAGAAGAAAAAAAAATAATAATAATGATAAATATGTATCCTTTAGTCTGTGCATATCCACGCTTCGGCATACCCGGTGCGCTTTACAACTTATTATTACCTCAGTAGACCCAGAACACACAGCAACATTCTTGGCTTCTTGGAAAATAGTATCGGTTGTAAAATGCTGCTCAAGCGTTTAAACACAAACAAACTGATAAGACCTTTCGCCGTCAATAACGGGGTACCTGTTCCCACAATGGTTAAGT